TGGCCCACGTCAATCCCGCGCGTTCGGCACCAGCTCATCGGGTCGCCCAACTCCTACTCTACTCACCTCTTACTTCGCTCGTGTGCCGCCCCTTCATGATCGCGCAACCCTGAGCTTCCAACAACGGGTTAAGAGAGCCGACTAATCGCGCAGCCGAAATTTATAGCATTCATGCATGCGCGAAGAACATGGAATTTCCCAGACTTAGAGTGAAGATTAGATGGGGAGCGCCTGCGTTCTGCATGATCGGGCGCGACGTGGGGGACGTAACCCTTCTCCACGCATCGATCCGAGAATGCAAGACACGACTTACAAAATCTCAGCAAAGGAAGGAGAAAGAAGGGCAGGAGAGACGAAGTGTAAGAAGAGAGATACAGTTAGAAGGGCGTCTTCCAAAATTACAGTTACTCATACGATTAAGGGCGCCCATTAATCAGAGTACCGTTACAGCCGCTTGAAGAAGCGCGTAGACAAAAGGCGCAGCACGGCAGAAAAAGTCATAGTTACTGAATTCCTAAATTCCTATCTAATGCGGAAAAGCAAAAAAACATTCATTTCAGAGAGAAGGTCCAAAATTCCGGGATCCATCGGGGCTTCACAAAATTGGAAAAAGATTCAAAAGAAAATTCAAAAGAACGAAGCAATTTCCCGCGCGATGTTCGTGCACAAAAGATCGAACCCGAAGCGACATCGCATTTATTAATCGCGCGCGTGGTGGCGCGCCAGACATCCCTCCGACCAATCTCCCAACTGGCCGTCCCAGGACGCACCCAACCCCGAAGAAGCGACGAAAAAGACGAAGAAGCGAGGGTATTGATGCAAATTTCCACCGATCCCGATTTCCCGTAATTGGCCCAATCTTCCCAGCTTAGGACCCCTTGTTGCAACCGCGCAGAAAATCGCGCGTTACAGAAAGTGGTTCGTCACATATGTGATGCCCAGGGGGTTCCATATTAGCAAGCTCCTGCTTGCTTGTTGACATGTGTCGATTTCTCTAATCGATCGACACGCGGAGCACTTCACTTTATGCCACTTACCGTTCGATTGCGTGTGGACGTCATCCAACGTGGCAACTCTGCTCTTCTACTAGTTCCTCAGATTGGGCTCTCCGACGATTCAAGGACGGAATTTGTCTCATGCCGTCGCCGCGACACGCATCCATTACCTGCTGCATCAGTAATTAACCGGGAGGGGGAAAGGAAGTCGGTACATGTATGAGGGAGGGCGGGGCGGCTCCATCGCAAGCTCGAGTATGAAGTGCCCGATGTCAGTAAGGTCGTAGGGAAGTTCTTGAAAACGGACACTGCGATGGAAGCAGGGGAATCTCTGGCCGTTGCGGGGAAGGGAAGCGAGGTAGTCTGGGTAAAGGGATACGAGGGTTCGGAGGACGTTTGTGCGGAACCGATCATGGTTCTCGCACGCGGGGAAAGTCCCCTAACGATGCAGTAAACCTCTATATGGTTACGGCCCCGCCACGCGGCGCTAAGGAGCAGAACGTGGAGGGAGTAGTCGGGGACAGCACACCGGACGGAGGGGTGGGGGTGAACAGTTAGTTCTAGGCGGGCAGAGTAGAAATGTCGGAAGGTGGCAATGGGGAAGGGATTACGGGGGTAGACGACGCGATGGAAATACTGATTGAAAGAGAGATAGCTAAGGGGATGGTGGTATATGGATCGGGGACGAAGGGCTAAGCCCCTCATTGATACGTTGACGAATTGGGGGGCAAGCGGAGGCGGGGGGGGACGTGGATCGGGATCGGGGTCGGCGCCTTGTCGTCGCGGCTCCCGAGGTCGTGGCAGCAATGTCCCCATGTTCCGGCTTGGGTGGCTCGGGGTCTTCGAAAGGATCGTCTGGTGCAGGATCGGTTGCTGGCCGCTTTCCTTCCGCGATCTCTTTCTTGCGCTGCTCAGCAGCCTCCGGGTTCTCCTCTCGTCGATCTGGCTCTGGCACCCCCTCGAGTTCGTCATGCGTTGGCCCCTGGTCGTCCCTGCTTTCCACTCCTTCGTCGTCTTCCTCCTCCTCCTCACTTTGCTCGCCCTCACCGTGCTCACTATAGGCCTCTTCCTCCTCCTCCGAAAGCTCCTCCTCTTCTTCTTCTTCTTCTTCTTCTTCTTCTTCTTCTTCTTCTTCTTCTTCTTCTTCTTCTTCTTCTTCTTCTTCTTTAGCTTCTTCTTCTTCTTCTTCAGCTTCCTCCGATTCTTCTTCTACTTCGCGCTCTTCTTCCTCGTCCTCGGCCAATCGGGCCGCCGCTTCCCCGGCTTCTCTCCTCAATTCTTCTTCCGATTCCTCTTCGGCCTCCTCTTTTGCTCTCAGTGCCGCCCACTCGAACGCCGTTGGTTGCCGAAAGAAGCGTGGATTAGTCAGGCTGCGGACGTCCAGATACTCGCTACGGGAGGGAAAATGGTCGTCCGCCCAGTGCTCCTCGATACAAGCCGACCACTGGAGGCTCGGGGCGAGAGTCCTTGTGAGGGTGTGTGGCACGGGTTCTTCGTCGCTCTGAGAGACGATGTGAAGAGGGAGTTGGCCAATCGTGCAATCACGATCGTAAGTTCGCGCACGATCTGTGATCGGTTTCCACGATCCACTGCTCCAAAGACGAATCCCAGAAGATCTCCCGCCACGTTGGTCCTCCACGCCTGAATGACGAGCAACTCCACAATCTCTAATGCAGGCCTCTTATCGTCTTTCCACGTCCAATTCAGATCCACTCGTAGCAGGCAAAATGAGAGCTCGACAAATTCTTCGTGCCACAGCCTCCAACGGTCCGGATCAACGAGGGGTACTATCAGGGGCTCCAGATGAAAGGAGAGGCGAAGGTGGCGAGATGACTGCCAGAAGATGGGGAAGAGAGAGGGAGGAGAGAACATCGAGATCGGCGGGCGGCTCATCTGCGCGGCTGGAAAGGAGCAAGTTATGGGAGGACGACATGTGGCTCGTGTAGCGTTGTGCGCAACGTGTTGACTTCGATGTCGTCGACAGGATAACACTCTTCACCGTGCCTGGTGAGCCGTCGATCCCAATCAGTGGCCAGATCGCGACCCCACCGGTACAAGGTGCTTTTGATGGCGGCTTGCCGCGCCGGATCGAAGGCGGTGATGTCGCCACTGAAGACTACCACGGTAGACACGTGACTGACTCTCGGGGCCGCTCGCCGTTGGAATGCCGTTGCCTCGGCCAGCACCACTACCTGAGGATTGCTCGTGAATCGGAACTCTGTCGTGCCGTATACACCCGCAGTGCAGAAGAACTGCGCAAGGCGCATGAAGTCGGGGCTGATCCGCGGATGATGCACTTGGCGGATGGCTGCGATCTCTCCCCGTGGCATCAGCAGCTGATCATTGAAAGCTCGCTCGATGGCAAAACTCATGGCGATGGCGGAGGTGACGGGGTAACAAAGAGGGAGCAAGAGGAAGAGGGGGAAGGCGGAGAGTCAAAGCCATCGTCTTCTACTTCCTCAGAGGGAGAGACAGAGGGAGAAGGAGACATAGCAGAGGGAAGGAGGCGAAGATAGGATACGTGGCGTGTGATCGGACGAGCCGATCGACTGCCAGAGACTTCAGGGACGAGACGCACGGTGTCCACGCTGTTGATGCCGAGCTCGATCACGCGATATCGCCCGAAGAATCATGGCACTAGCTTACCTTAGCGAGCACATTTCCTCACCTGCACCACGTCCCCCAATTTGTACTGGGGTCGTGGACCCGCATTCCCATTTCGGGCCTTGTAGCTCCGGATCTGTCAGCCTTGGGCTAGTTTGGTCATTTTCTGTCGTTTTCGGGCTAGCCTGGGTAGTGACCGTTCCATTAACTCTAGGTGCCGTTTGGCCTTGTCCCGAGCCGTAACCCTGGTGGGCCGTTGGTTTAATGTAGTCTCATCTGGGAGATTCGGTATCGAAACGCAAGCGACACTATTGGTTCTTAATTGGAAGGGGCTTAGCCCCATCGATTCGTGAGGCGTTCCGCGATGGACCGCCAGGATGTGATCGACGATATCGGGCCAAGATCTCGGATCCCGTGCCGCGATGTTTTGTCGCAACGCTGTCTTTATCACTCGGTTAACGTTTTCGACCAGTCCGTTGGACTGTGACATGTGAGGCGCCGTGTTCCGTATGGCGACGCCGTGTAGGACCAGATTTCTTAACACTTCTCCCCTAAATTCAGCCTCATTGTCGGTCAAGATTTCTTCCGTGTCCTGATGCATCCCGAGGAAACGGTTGACATACCGCGCAATTTCCGTGGCTTGCCGCGTGCGATAAGGATACGCTTCGATCCATTTCGAGAAATGGTCGACAAATACCAATAGGATTGAATATTCGCAACTATTAGGACCAGGGGGCACCACTATGTCGGTAGTGTCCATGCTCACTCTTTGAAATGGCCGTTCAACAACTGTGGGCACTATCGATCTTGGTGGCTGAATCGGCGCCTTGTCAGTGGCGCAGACTTGACAGTTGGTGACAATGTATTTTACATCGTCGCGGATATTAGACCAATACCACTCATTTTTGTCGATAGCGGACTCCGTGATTCATACGGCAAAATGGGCCGCAGTTTCCTCATGGGCTGTTTTAACCCAGTCATACCGCATGAACGGATGCGGTACTACCATCCAAGTCCCACTGTCGTCCGTCTTTCGTTTTTCTAACCTACCTTCTACCCATCGATAATCCCGAGCCCTTTCGTTGGCCCTCCTCCGATCTTCCTTGGTGAAATCCTAGAGGGGGTTACCTACTAGGGTGGCAATTAAGGCAATATCCGTCCATATTCCGGCCCTTCTAAACCTCCGGGTCTTTTCTAACCCTTCTGACGTGGCATCCAAAAATCGAGTCTCGGTAGGAATCTTGTCGGTCCGGCACAAGGGGCACAACCATGGTTTACTATGGCTTCTGTATTGGATGCACGAGCCATGGGCTCGTGCAACACACTGCCGACAATCTATCCAATCCGCATACCCTTCTCCGTTAGGACACATTGAGACCGCGTATACGCGGGAGATAGCTTCGCAAAAATAGCAAAATTTGTCAGGCAGGGAGAGGAGAGACGAAGAGGAAGGGGGAGAGAGAGGGGTAGTGGGATTACCTCCGTCACCCATCGCCACCGCTTTTCTTCTTGCCGAGTGGAAGAACTGCCACCTGTCCGTATTTCGGCTCGTTGGTCAGGTCCGGTTCTCTCCACGGTGTGATTTCCTCGCCCTTTGGTACCCTGACACGTAGATGCAGACGTGTCAGCCCGTCCGCGTTGCCATGTCGCTCTGTCTTTCGATGGACGATATCGAAGTCGTATTCTTGCAATCGCACTGCCCAACGACCAATCATGCCCGTGTAGTTGGTTAGCTTCTTTAGTGCCATCAGAGGCTCGTGATCTGCTAAGAGGCGAAACTTATGTCCGTAGAGATATGGATGGAAGTGTTGGATTCCCCAAACTACCGCATAGCACTCGCCTTGGGGTGTGGAGTCGTTTCTTCGTTCGTCCGGTACGGTTCGAGACGCGTACTCGATGACGTACTCTCGACCATCGTTCCCTTTCTGGGCTGAAATAGCGAAAATAGCTTCCGGTTGCCAGTCTGTGATGAGGATGAACTGTTTCGAGGGGTCCGGCCGGATCAGAATAGGAGCCATTGCGAGAGCGTCTTTGAGGGTCGTAAAGGCCTGCTGGCACCCCGCGTCCCAACCGAGAGGTTGGTCTTTCCGTAACAGATTCGTTAGTGGTCGTGCAATCACGGCAAAGCCCTTGATGAAGCGTCGGTAGTACGACGCCAGCCCCAAGAAGGCTCGAACCTGCGTCAGTGACGTGGGGACCGGGGCTTCCTTCACCGCCGCAACTTTTCTCGATTCCGGCCGCAATCCTCCACGTGTCACAACCGTGATGTAGCCTAAGAACGAAATTTCAGAGAGGAAAAATTCGCTTTTCTCGAGCGCAATCTTGAACCCTGCATCTCTTAGTGCGCCCAACGTCCACTCGATGTGTTGCGCATGCCCGTGATAGGTTTCCAAATAGACCAGGATGTCGTCCATGTACACGATCACACAGAAATTGATCATCCCTTGCGTTAGCCGTGTCTTGTTGACGAAATTATGGAACGTCATGTTCATCGCTCGTTGAAACGTGGCAGGCGCATTGCAAATCCCCATCGGACATCGGACCCACTGCCACGTGCCCTCAAACAACACAAAGGCCGTTTTCGGCCGATCTTCCTCCCTTACCAAAATATGATGGAAACCATGTCGAATATCAAACTTGCTGAAATAATTGGCGCATCCAATCGCATGCAACAGATCATCAATCCGGGGGAGGGGATACACATCTTTGATCGTGATTTCATTCCGCTTTCGATAATCGATGCAAATGTGAATCGCCCCGTTTTTCTTCGGCACTAATACTACGGGGAAGGACCAAGGTCCGGTAGAGGGTTCAATCCAACCGTTGGCTTCGAACTCCCGAATTCGTTCGAGAGCCTTTTTGCGTTCAATCAAGGAACACCGATAAGGTTTGCAATGAATCGGGGAGTGATTTCCTGTCTGAATTTCATGTTGGATTACTAACGACAACCCAATGTCGGTGTCTGACACACTAATTGCTCCTTGGTATTCCGTTAGAATATCCGCAATTACCCGGTGGATTTCATCCGGCACATATTGTAGGACGTGTAGTTCGAAAAATCGGTCCCAGATCCGAACGTTGATATGTTTCATGTTTGCCTGTTTTGTCAAATCGGGTGGAGGCGCCAAGATGAATGAATGATCCGATCGCCAGGAGAACACCGTTGTCATCATCTGAGCATCTTCTTCTCGGATTGCCACGTGTCCTTCCGGGGTAATCCCATCACAAACATCCTGCCATGGCACTTCCTTAGTTGTGATTTTTATTCCCAGTCCGTCTGTTTCTGCTTCGAAACGCCCAGGGGGTTCCAGAGAGCTTGCTTAGGCCCCCAAGCGTAACAATCTCAATTCCTTGGCCGAGGTTAGTAGGGACTTGGGTAGATCCGTAATATCACAGTAATGCTTCTTGTCGTTGTACCGGGCGAGGAGCGGGGYGATTCCTTCGTACAGAGTTTGAGGGGGTTCCAAAGAATCAACCATCCTCGAAATCTGCACGAGGGGCTCGCCTAAGATCATCGCCTTGGTCCTTTCAATTTTTCGGCTGGTCAGTTGCATCGTTCTTGCTATCGTTTTAGGCGGCGGGTAGTAAACGCGTTGTCGTACCAATTTCAAGATTTTCGGATCATCTTCGTCACTGCTTTCTATATCATCAGTTGATGACTTTACTTCTGCGGGTTCGTCCCAGGAGATCATGCGGAGAGTTCCTGCCATCATTGGCGAAACCCGAGGAACTGTGTTAACAGTGGTACGAAGGGTTAATCGCATGGGCACAGCATAGGGTCTTCCTCCTGTGTTTCGGAGGACGATCGTCCGTCGTTCGAAGTCCAGGTTTGCTCGTAATGCCACAAGAGTGGGAAGTCCGAAAAGAACGTCATAGGTATTGACATCCAGTACTACGACATCCCCAAGCGCATGCACTTTACCCAATCGGAAAGCGACATTGGTCAATCTCCCCACAGTTTTGATCTTTTCCTCGTCTGCAGAGATGAGCTGATCTTTTTCCGTCAGCATTATCAGGTCACTTTTCCGTCCTGCTCGTTCAACTACTCGCAGAGAGATAGCTAGGACAGCAGCACCCGAATCAATGATCGCGTTGTACGGAACTCCCCAGGTTTGAATATCACATTCTGCGGATCTCCACGGAATCGGTTTGATCCGTAGAAAGTGATCATCTCTCTGAATCAATCCCAATCGGACTGGTTCAGAGGGTCCTGACGCATGCTCGTTAGGTGTGGGGCTCTTATCTTTTGCAGTTCGGGTGAGATCAAATCGCTTTCGATTTGCCTTGTAGTGTTGCAGCATTCGTTCGTTCGCCTGTTCTGAGATCAAAAGCAAATGGCCAATCGGAAGAGGAATCCGATGATCCAAAGCTCTCACGACATTCAAGACATCGATTTCGCTTGTGACGAAGGTGGGTCCTTCCGCCTCCATTTCTTCTTGAGACGGTCTTCATTCTGCCATTTCCTTTTGTTCTAATGCGGGGCGGATTGTTCCAATCATGCCCAATCCTGGATAGCCTAGCGACACATATTGGTCTAGCAGGATAAGTTCCGGTGCTTCCTCCATCGAAGCTAACGCACTTCCTCCTTCCGTTTCTTCCATCAGCGCACCCACCCGTCCAGGTCTATTAACGATGGGTGTTGCCGCAGCAGGTGCGACTCCGGACCGCTATTGCGGAGGTCGGTGGGGGCAATCTCGGGCCAAATGACCCACTTGATGACACACGTAACAAGTATTGAGATTGGTCGCAACTCCTCCAAGATTAGTCGCAGGGGCCATTCCCTGTTGAATCTGAGGAGCGCGTACGACTATGGGCCGCATGTTTCTCATCATTGCTTCTAGTCGTGCGTTGTGTTCTCGTTGTTCCTTTTTGCTTTCTTGGATCAGACTGACCAATGTTTTAGTTAGTTCCAAGATGGCAACAAACTCACTTGCTCGTGCAGGAGGTTCGATCGGTGGCGGTGTGGTTATGGTTGGGGCCGCCATCACTGGGCTTGATATGTGTGCAACCGCCCCCGGGGGTGTTATCCTTGGTGGTACACGGTCTACGTACATAACAGGCCCGGCTACGAATCCCATGTTTTCGAATTTGTTCTGAAGCGCTGCCAGTTCCGCCCTCGCTCTCGCGAGTTCGGACGAGTCTCCTTCTGTACGGTAATCTTCATTTTCCAAAAAGCTGGCTGCAGACTTCCGCTCCATTTCCTTGGCAACCGCCATAATTTGTTGCAGCGTGTAGTTGATGGGAGAAAATTTTTTTCGTAGCTTCCCCCGTATCGTCCTGTTGCGTAGCCCGTCGATGAACAAATCTCGACCTAACTGTTCTCCCCGCTTGGTCTTTACAAACATTCGATGAAATCTGTTTCGATATTCGGTGATGGATTCGAGTGGCTTCTGGACTCGGTCCTTGATCATATAGAGCGCTTGCTCGGGGTGAACATAATCGAAGTGGTTCATGAAATCCCGCTCAAATGTGGGGAGATCAACCCATGCATAGGTGTTGTACCAATGATGGGCGTCCCCCCCCATCCGAGCGGGGATGTTGATCTGAGCTTCATCGTTAGTATACCGCTGGGCTCGAAGCGTGGCTAACCACGCTCCAGCGAGATGATGGGTGGGGTCGAATAGGTAGAGATCGGGGGGGGCCATAGGGGCTCGTCTTGGGGCTGCAGGCGGATTAGGATTGTTTTGTTAATTGAGGTTGACTGCAGCAGCGGCTGCTGTAGCGGCGGCCGCAGCCATGGGGCCCGCTCGTCTTGCGGCGGATGTTCGGCTGCGTGTAGCTATAGGACTACGTCGGCGTGGATTCCCAGCTCGGGGGCGCCTTCGTGGAGCCAGATCGCCTCAATCCAGTCAGTATCGCACCAACAGACCCTGTCGCTTAACACTTGCTTTCAATCCCAAGACTTTAGCCACGTGTCGGGCTCCGATACCAACCCCACGCCCAGCGCGACTTCCTGATCGGAGTGGATTGTGGGCCTGGAAGTGCGAAAAGGGGTGTGCCAAGGATTTTTGGGAAAAGTGGGGAGTCTTAAGGATATGAATGCAATCGGGCGAAAAGGGGGCGCGCAAGCCCGGGGACTCACATCAAAAGGGACCGGGACATTGTGGGCGACGAGTTACGGGGAAGTCCCTTCGTGGTGGAGGCGGTCCCGAAAAGTTGGACCGTCGGGCCCCGCCACGTGGCGCAGGTCGCCGCAGACCTTGGTTGGGTCTTCGGAGTTCCTCAGTTCTCGGCTCGCCCCGACGTCGACAATTCACGCAGAATGTATTGGGCCAATAGGGGGCTATGGCCGGCCAGGGAACGACGCTGAGTTGATGATATGGGAGGAGAAGGCGGAAGGGAGGGAAGCTGGTGGTAATCTCAACGAATCCGGGGTGGATGAAGTAGTAGGTGTGGTCGGGAGA